ATTTAAAACATCATACCTAGCAATTCATGTAGAGTTATACGTCGACTGGCTAGCAACTCCTTACTGGCGCTCCTGATCTCGAATATTAGTACCGACTGCCTCGGTACACCGTCGCCGTCTATATGGAAATCTATGCTAAACTGAGGATTAGGCATAGCTGGCAGGAGTCGCGATTTCGCGATAGTCTTACCGCCATTAGGCGAGACAATCTTATCTGGACTGGTGCATCTGGAAATTCTTAATTTAATTATCTGTCGTCAATTAATGCCATCGTTGTCAATCATATTATATTTACGTTTGAAGTTTTACTCGGCAGTATAATTGGGCAATGTGCGCTACATGGAGACCCTGCGCCTGAAGAACCTTCCCTTCCACTCCGGAATATTTCTCTCTAGTGCCGTTGACAATTTTTAAATCTGAAAATCCAATGTTCTATTTTATTTTCGTGTTTCAGCATTAAATTGTAAAGCTCTAATCATTTTTCATTCTAAGAGAATAGAAGGTTGTTTATTTAAAATAAAAAAAAGATATTTATTTATTTATTTTATCTTTTTTCAATTTTACTACTTTTCAATTTTACTACTTTAAATGGCATCAACAATAAGCATGACAAGTGTATTTAAGAATGTCTTAAGATGTCATAAATCAATTACAATCTATTAAGCATTTTAAGATATTACTTAAGACGATTTTGAAATAAGAATCGCAACTATAATAAATATCAAAAGATCTGGAATGAAAATATCTATATGATTATATATTAAAATATTATGTATGATGATATGGACTATCCACTAACCATTCGGCCTCAATCTTAACCGCGGACTGGGTTGCCTTATCCTGCCTAACATGTCAGGTTGCGACACCGCATGAGCAAGACCAGATTCCGACAAAAGCTCCGTGGCGTCAGCTTCTCCGCCGCCTCTGGGTTCCAGGCTTAGCGTAATGCCTTTATTATCATTTTTATCTTCTATAGTTACTTCCGAACGAAATCTACGAAGTTTTAAACCCCTCTTCACCTACAATTACGAAATATCTTAAACTGATGTTTCGATCGTGAATAATTTGACGCGTTTTTACCTTCTGCTTCATCATGCGGAAACTGTTGTACTGTGGTAACTTCTTGCCAAAATTTTGTTCAGGACTGGGTGTCAAACTATGATGAGAAGATCGCCTTTCTGCGATCACTTTAGTGGTGTCGGCCTCATCGACGGAATTACCCGCAACTGATTCTGTAATGACTTTCGGAATCCAAAAGCTCGATGTTCCGTTTATTTCATTGGACTCTTTACTGGTGATACTAACTTTATCTGTACGAAAAAAATATACCAAATTTCTAAAACCGTATCGAACATGCTGTTTATAAAATTTTAAATTGCCAAAGATGTTAAACATAATATAAATATATATGTGAATATAATATGAATTTTCAAACATGACATTACCGGACTGGTTGGATGTGGTTGGCTTCAGGAGAGTGACGGTGCGTGGCGGAGGCGGAGGAGGTACAACTGGATCCAAATGTAGACGTATTTTAGATCTTTCCATAGAAGGCCTTCGCACAATACTCGATAAGGAATCAGGTTCGGTGTTCAAACGAGAAGAATTGTCGCTGACATTGCTTGTTGCATACGTGCTTTGTGTCTAGAGCAAATTTCAAGTCGAGATTTATAATGAGAAAATATTCGAAAGATGACGCTCACTGAACAAAGTAACAATAACAGTATAACAATTTTATAATTTCCTACTCAATAACATAACTTATGTACAACAGGTGTTACATTGTTGAATAGGAAATTATAATATTAATGTAATATTACTGTTCGTGTTCAACGAGTGCTGAAGTTACTGTTGCGCGAACATTACCTCACACTCTTCCGATAAGATCTTAATTTTCAGTTCTATAGATCCCGTTTTGGTTTCTCTGAGCGGAAACCAATGGGACTGATCGCTGTTTGATAGCTTTCTGATATCATCGAGAATCAGTGATACTTTCCCAAGATAATCCTTCATACCGAAAGTATCATGATCCCATAATACCTATAAAACCAAATTTTTAAAAATTATCCTCTCTATTTTAAGAAATTTCAGTGCAAGATGTAAATGTGCATAATTACGATATCTAAAGCTTCTCCGGTCTTCGGCAAGCCCATGATGGAACTCTCATCCCAGCAAGGATTCAGCGTCTTCTTCTTTATGCTGCTCTTGTATTTTGTTTCGTTGTTTAGTTTCAATTCGCAGAAGGGATCGCTGAAGCCATTCAAATCTTTCGCGACGAGATCCTTTGCGCGCAATAACGTCACCTCCATCAAACCGCTTCCAGTGGACAAGAGACTGGATATATCGGAGGAGGCGGGATCGGTGTCCTTGTGCGTTAATAATAGCTTCTAAAAGTTTAAGACTTGAATGGGCATTTATAGAAATTTTTTTCTGGATAAATATAAGACTTTATACAGACTGCCTGTTGCATCCATGGCAAACTGTTTCGTTTGATTTTCGGTTCGTCATCCAGCGTAGTTGGAATCAAGCTGCTTCTGCGACTGTTAACTACTTGCTGTACACTTTTGATAGGATAAAACAGAACAGAGATCGTCATGGTAGAGGCGATGTTGGAACCGCTGAGCGTGAGTTCCTTTCTAACAATCCATGTTGTGTCCTTTGAAAAAAATTATTTTTTATCGAGCATTGTAAGGTAACATGTGCAATTATAAATATAAATTATAATATAAAATATAATATAAATTGTAATATAAATTGAATAATTTAAAACAAAAACAAGGTAAATCTGTAATCTATAAAGTATATTTTAGGTACTATACTCATATTTTTGAAATAGTTCTTTCCAGATTATGGTCTTCTTTTATCTTTATGATAAATCGTCTGATTTCAGTAATATTTGATTACCTGAGACAGAGATAGCATAGCCAATCCAAGCATGTCCGTATCCATTGATTTTACTATATTCCATGAATAAATGACAAAACTCAGCGACACTTGCGTGTAATCCTGTACCAAAAATTGCGCTCTGCAGTCCCAAACCGGAGATGTAGTTGAGCGAACGTAATGCGTCGTTTTTACCTAAAAAAAAAAACACATAGAACGTCAACAGATATATTTTGCACAGATATAATTGCAAACATATTTTAAAATTATGAATTATATTTACCTTCTTTCGATTATTAAATAACATGCAATAAGGATTACACTGAGCAATATCGCCGTGAAGATTATCAGCTGAATGAATATAAACCACCAATACCCCTGAAAATTACAACGCATTACGACGCGAATATATTTTTGTATCGATTCATAAAAAAAAAGTACACACAAAGACTCCCTACAAATTTCTACAAAGACTCGCTACAAATTTTCACGGAAAAGCACATGATAAAAGAGAACATATAGGTTTAGCGTGTTTGAAAAGCTACTGTCCGATAAAAGTCTCAATAATATATAAAACCATCAAGCGTATATTTAATTAAGCATTGCGTCAAATCAAAGGACGTTGCACACAATCATGCTCAGATTTCACGACGATATTTCAATTAAATTTACCTGCTTTGTGCGCTTTGTGGCAAGAGCCTCGCGACACTGAAAATATTTCATATGATAATACTGATCGCGGAAAAAGAATGTTCAAATATTTCATAAAGATACATTCGTCGTGATTTAATATCAAATTACACAAATATCTTTTTTCCTTTTCATATATTCTACAGCCTTGGCTATAAATATAAAAGAATTTTTTCAATTTATCGTATTTCCTTGGAAAAGGCGATAATAAAGGCCAAAGGAAGATCAATAAAATATTATAATTATTATAAATATTATACACTATAAATAAATATTATTACACTATTCAACAAAATTAAATTTACCTCTTCCACTCTGTAAAAATAGGTAAATTTCAAGATGAAATAACTTCGTGAAAAATCATCGAAATTTAAAAAAGCATTTTACAGTTTGAAATCTCTGAAATAAAAAAGGTTTGTTTTAATGTCGAATAACTCAGTGAAAAAAAATCATACAAAGCTCAATAAAAAAACAAAAATTCACTATTAAAGATTCATTATTTCAAATGCTATAAACCATATTTTAGAGTTTGTAATTCGTTGTGGAACTTTGCGAATTTCGTAAAAAAAATTGCATCTTCATTTATGTTTGTGTAACTCCATAAAAAATTAAAACCGTTTTCTAAAATACTGATCTGAAAAATAGAGATTTCAAGCTGTAAAATATTTTTTTAAACATCTCGATATGATGACTCTTCATGAAGTTATTTCATTTTGAAATTTGCCTATTTTTATAGAGTGAAACAGGTGATGTTTTAATTTTGTTGAATAATGTATTTCAATAAAGTTATTTTTTTTTAATAAAAACTCTTTTAATTTATTTTTCATTAAATATAGAACATGTCAATTTGTGGGGAATGCTTTACACTTATGGTTGTTATATTATATACTTTATGTTTATCTTTATATACCTGCAAGATGCATATTATCGGCCGTTAATTCTGGTTGTGGTAAATCGGGATCCAAATGCGGCAGAGTAGTGTACTCTAATCGCGCATTGATATTTGGAATATTAGCACTATTGCGAGACGGTTTCTTTTGTTGTAACACTGTTTCAACGCTATCAAACAAAGGCAAATGGATTAACGGAGAATATTAAGTCTAATCGGACTCGTATTCACGTCAATACATAAGGCTGAAGAAATTGACGTAAAATACTCGAGGGAAGCATAGTGTGTAATTAAACGCGATCAATGCAACTTACATTTGTGAATTCTCCCAGTCGTAAACTCCTAACGCTAACTCGAACTGCGCTAGAGTGATTGTACTAACGAGACGTTTTGCTTTCAACTTGATGATAATTCTCTCGTTGTCTAATGGCCCGACTAAAAAAGATACATCCTCGGTCCATGTGGAACTCAAGTTCGAAGTAATTCGTCTTTGATCACCCACCGTCACCGCGAGCCATCTCACTTCATCAGCGACGTTCGCTAGCAATGGAAAAAAGCCAGTTAGGGATTTTCTAACGAGTCCATAATAATAGTCTATAATAATGGTTAACTCGTTCATTATAACTTATAACAATTGCGTGTTTGACAGAAATATCATCTGCAGTATAAAGTAAAACCGTACGTCTTAACTATGCTAAATCACGCTAAAAAAAAATTTAACGGTCGGTAATCGTTTTTTTTTCTTCTAGATTTTAATATATGATTACTTGCAGTCTTCATCTAAAGGAAACTCACCAGAACAACCATTTTGACATAGAACAACGGTGAGTACTCCTTGTGGCAACAAATTGGTCACGGAATCCAATCCAGGACCCGGTCGCTCTCGCGCTCTCAGGTTCAACTCTAAATGGCCTGGGTCGACCAGCCAGCTGGCCAGAGCATCCGTGACCACCGCATGAATCCAAGTCTTGATAAGTGGCATCTCCATCATCTGCACCGCCCGTAGAATTCTTACGCTGAACCAGACGTCCGGCTTCTCCAGGAAACTCACGCTAAGTCCGGTTGCATGTGGAAACGGCGCCGACGTGTTCAATGTTATGTTAACAATAATTGTGCCGGACAGCGATAGCTTCTCCACTGCCAGGTCGATATCCATTCCCACACTGTCGAAATATTTACGAAGAAAATATCCATAAAATTATTTTAGAATAGAGAATAGATTTAGAAAAATTATGAGATCTTGATATCAAAAGCGTAATAATTCAAATGAAAAAAAAGGCAAACTTAAAATAATTCGTACTATCGTACGAAATTATTAGATTTCTAAATTTAATTCCAAATAAACAAATGAATTGCAATTAATGACACAACAATGCAAAAATAAATTAGTAATTTATAAATAAATAAATTTGCAATTTTATTTAAGATGTTCTTGAACTGTTTTTAATATAGTAAACACTTGGTTCCTCACCCTTTACCAAACAATCGCGTAGTGATGAGCATGCGGAATTGCTCGCAGTCCAACCGTAGGTCCGCTTCGATGGACAATTTAGTCTGACCGAAGAGGCCATTGGGAAGATCATCATCGCTGCAGCAGTCGAGTGTTCTGACGCGAGTGATACATGGCGTTTGTTCGCCGAGAGTGAGTTCGCGTAATTCTAATGGACCTAAAAACAAGTATCTCTTTAAGAGCCATGATGAAAGTTAAATGACCAAGTAATTTAGAATCCTTTGAGCAGTCGGTAATTAATTTCTTTGATGTACTTCTTTGGCTTATCTCTCTTTCTCACTCCTGTTGCAAGTCGCATAACATTTTATTTACACAAAGTGCTCTTACCGAGTATACCAGGTTTGGCTTCATTAAGAAGAGGTTCCAGTCGTTCCTTCGCCAAAGAAAATATACTGGCAGCGCTGAATCTCCACCTGGGGAAATAATATTCGATAAACAACATTATAATCTACCGTTCAGAATTTAATCAAAACTCTAGTTTTTGTTATCTAGTTTATTAAATTTACATCACAGAATAATCTTTTCAGTCTATATGAAATTGCTCAGAGCCCCTTTTTTTGAATCTCTACAAATAAACATCTCGAGAAGAATGCGATTCATTAAACATTCAGTTTAATTAAGTGAATGGCCAGATTTTAATACGATAAAGTGCTCTTTCGAGCGTGAAAAACGCGTTCTGACATTTCGGTGTCATAACGGATGAGTTATTTCCAGAATTCATCGTTAACGACATCCCATTTATGCCATCGATAACGATTCGCATAATATACGATGGCCTACGTGTATATTAAGCTTTCATGAATAGATTAAAGGAAAGACAAGTAAATTAACACGTGCCCACGCACTTGTCAGTTTTTAGGACTTGATGATACTTGAATAACATCTTACCCATCCCAGTCCGACACTTCTAGATTTTCCATCATGAATTCTCTTATTAAATATATAGTATTAAAAATATAGTTTTTTATACGCACTTTAAATACATAAAAATTTCAAAATTATTTTTTCTGCTATTATTAATATATTTTTTCTGCTATTATTAAACTCCTTATCTTTTTATTCCTTATCTTTTTATTGTTAGACTTTATTATTTAAATAGATAAATAAAGCATACAATTTTACGAAAAATTATTAATTACATATTTATATCACTTATATCTTCTCTAAAAAAAAAAAAAAGACTTTATATAAACACAGAAAGAACAGCTTTGCTGAAATATTTGAAAATATATTTAGTTAAATATATGTAGATCTGAAAATAATTATATTGGACATGCAAGCACGATGATAATACTAAACAAATGTTGACATTCTAGCAATTAGCTTAAATTTTTCTTGACTGTTTAATATAATTATTTTGAACCAACATAATTATTTTCAAATCTGTGTATGTACATTAGTTAAATTTTCAGATACTTTAGCAAAACCATTCTTTGTAGAAATTGTTTTTTCAGAATATCGTGTATACGAAACTTGTATTCTTTATAGGATGCTTGGTTCCATAGAAATTTTTCCGAAGTCATCGTTTCCTGTATTCGCATGATCAAATAAGCGCGAAAATCATTTTTTTTATGCTCATACAGTGTAAGTACGTAACATGTTGAATTCACTGTTTCTTCCCGGCATGCAAATTCTTGCTAGTCGGACGAGAAACTCGCAGCCGGAGTTGTTTAGGAATACTCGAACAGGTCTATCAACTATCCAAATAAGTAGCACTCTTTCCACACCTTATTGCCGCTTGCTGTACAGGGCCGTTCCCAACCGCTGACAAACGAGAAAAGGGTGATATACGAAGAAAATCGCTTGAATGCGTCAATGAGACCGTCGATACAATAGTAAATTTTTTTTTCTTATTGTTAGTACATAAATCTTTTCAAAATTAAATAACAAATTTTTTAAACCAGAAATTAATTCTAAACTTTTTAAAAATTTTTCATTATGGAGGATCCACTTTTTGATAAATTTTAGCTCTAAAATAAGTTTATTTTTGCAATTTATCTATTTCTCTTGTATATTTGTTTAAAACGAATTAAGATCCTTGTGTGCGAGCTTGTGTGCTACGCAACTTTATGAACCAATGGCATTTTGCAACTTATTTAAACGCGGTCAATTCTACAACATCGACTCGTTCCGTTCAACATGTGTCGGCAATGGAGACGGACAAGGATTTTATCCGCGGCATAGGCAGCAGAAACGTGAAAGGCCACATTTATATTTACGTGCGTCAGGAATGTGGATATGTTTACAAATGCGTATGTACTCGTTTCTGAACGAGGAGTTCATTCACCCATTGTCCGATGCGAGGACAATCACGATATATATTTAGCGGCATTACAATAGCCAACAACAATTATTACCGCGAATCTCAGCTATATGAAAGAGCGAGGTGAGGTCACGAAATATGAGTACAATAATAAAGGATATATATATCTTTTATTATTTATGTATGTATCGCTACGTTATACCACATGAACTTTTCTAGATACATTCTCCTTTCTATTATTTTTTGATTAATCAACATCACGTTATACATAGTTATACCAATTTTGAATGATCAATTTCTCTGTTAGGAATTTGTACCTATTAGGGTGACTCCAGCAAATACGCCGCGTTGGGATTTATGCCGTAGAAGACAGAAAAAGAAAGGAGTATCCTAATAAGAAGTAAGGGGATAATTTTCCCGCAACTATTTCGTTACATGTCTTTATATTATATTAGTATTGTGTTATGATTTCAGCTTCTTATTGTTAATATTAATGAAATTATTGTGAATTGAATCGATTTGTCGCTGTAATAAGTAATCATAAATTATAATCTACATTAAAAGATTAATGTAGGACGTGCAAAAGACTTAGTGGTTATTTCATGATACATACGTGTAATGGAATAGTAAAGCATGTTGTGTAGCAAAATACAAATGTTTCGCTTTCGATTCTTTGTTTATTTTGTTGTTTTATATATTCCTATCTTATATATCTGTTTGGAATATATGCATTTTTAGCGAACGAGATTTATGCCCAAAGCATACAAAGTGCGCAGATTGAATTCAGTGCACTAAATGCAATAAACGCATTATATGAAATATGTATCTCATGTCATAACACTTGTAATATATGTAGGAAGATTGTTATAATATAATTATTATTAAAGATAATTATTATTTATTATTTCATATACATATTTACCATTCTTATTCCTTAAAATTTAATTCCTTTATTTTATAAGTTATTGTCATTGTATCATTACACGCCTTATTTATGTGCATTATTTGTAAATTTTTCATGAACTGTACATCCTTCCCTCCTCCTATGAGTAGCCATATATCCCATTCCTATGAGATACACGGCAAAAATGCAATTTCAAAAAGTTTATTTTTTAATGAAAAATAAATATTTCAAATTTCAAATATTTTTTTCATAGTAGTAGACAGTACAAAGTTTTTACTAATATTCAATATAGTTCGTTTACTATAAACATAGTAAATAATATTTAATAAATTAGGTTTTTGATTGAGGTGCGACGTATATACCGGAATTACTCTAAAGAAAAAGGAATATTAATTAGTTGCTTTCTATAATAGTCAATTTAATCTTTTTTTACAAATAAACCGTGATAAAATACTGCGATAAATAAATAGTTTTCTTTAAAATATCCACAGAAAGAACGGTTTTACTGAAGTATCTAAAAATTTAGTAAGATTTTTCAAAATAATTTTGATAAACTGTCAAAATAATTAAGGAGATCCTAAAGCCGTCTGTTTTACCTACTAAATGATTTTTGTATAACAATTATTTTTTTTCTCTTTTATAGATTCGAAAATCTTTTTCCAGGATTAAAGTATGTTTGTGAGGTGAAATTTATTCCGAGAACGACAAAAAATTTCGAAATTGAAATCTTAAGAAAAATTTTTTGTCGTTCTTGGTATAAAGATAAACTCATAAAGAGAAACTCCTGGAAAAGGATTTTCGAATCTATAAAAGAGGAAAAAAAAAGTAAATTCTTGCAAAGCACGTAATTTCATTTTAGAAGAAATATTTTTTTCTACGTTTTGAATCTTAATTCTATAAATTCAGTATTGTTTGTTCAAGTAATTTAAATTCCGCCTCACGTTATTTTCACTCTACAAGCTATAAAACTTTTATATCAAGCAATTATATCAAGCAATTGTTAATCTTAGATGAGAGTGTCAGGATGCATGTGTCAGAAAAAGTGAATTTTTTTCCGATTTTCTCATGAAATCGTGTTTTTCAGAATTTCTTTTTTTACGTTGTTCAATTCTGTAAAAAAAATTTTGCAATCCGTGAAGCTAATTCGAAGATTTCTTCTAAAACGTAATCGTGGTAAAAGGACTATTTTAGGATTCCCTTAAGTCGTGTTAAAATATCCAAATCTTTTACAACATTACTCATTATGTTTGTGCGATTTTGGTCCAAAAAATTTATTTTTAAATCTGTATCTAAATTTCTAGGTACTTCAGCAAAACCGTTCTTCCCATGTGAAGATTTTAAAGAAAATTCTTTTATTTTCATCTTATTGTCAATAAAATTGTCGTTCTTTCTGTGCATCTATTGATATAATAACGTAGATTAACGTATACTAGGTGGCACACGCGTATTTCCGTTTCTGATTAGCTTCATCGATAACTAAAAACGGTACTTGCCATTTGTTGAGAAGCAAACTGAGCCACTCGGCGGTCTCGTCTTTGTACAGGGCCCGTCTTCTACGTAACCTGGCCAGTTCGTGCTGCAATTCCGTCTGAAGAAGCCGGGAGACTCTCGCTTTAACGATAGTTGTTGCCAGTGCCAAGACCAAAACCAGCCACGCCAACGACAAACCCCCCGCTCCTATTATCCAGGTGATCGCGAGTGCCACTCCGAGATACAGAGCAGTGCGAATTGCCTCTGCATCTCTCTGCAAAAAGAGATATTTCATCCGATGCGTTCATGCGCATGCATTTACATGTATCAAATGCGAAGAGCCTTTGTATCTTAAATCTTCGCGTCGCGTGTGTCGTTCAATACAGCGGTAATCGAATCGCATAATGCACTGAGAATATTACATTAACATTAATATTAAAAACTAGGTTAATGCTGATAATTATTTGTTATCTATTAGTGTTGTGTTTATAAAGTATAATTCATTCTTGATAGAGTATATGAAATGAAAATATTTAAATTAAAGTTTAATTAGAGTTTGCGCTATGAAGAATCATTCGCTTTTACTAATTACTGCCACTAATATCTTTTATTTAATTAATTGAAAAATATTTTTAATTAAACTCATTAACGTATATGACTTTTTTTTATACGTAATTGCGTTAATTTTCTCTTCTTACATTCTGTGTATATTTAGCGCACTATCAGTTATTTCTTTTAATATGATTAATCAAATATATTAATGTTCTTTCTGTATCATACAAAAGGATATATATTTAAAATCGAAAAACTGATAAAATTGTGAAATTTAAATCTATTACAAGCAAAACATCGAGATATAAGGATTATATCTTGAAAATAAAACGAGAATAGAAAAATCAAACTCTCTCTCTCTTTCTCTCTCTCTCTCTCTCTCTCTCTCTCTCTCTCTCTCTCTCTCTCTTTCTCTCTTTCTCTTCATTATACTTTTCTCTGTATACTTTCAAATATAATTACTTTATTTTATTATAATTACCGTATAATTTTTAAAATACAAATTTTTTATTTTTCATTTTTCTCAATACGCTTCATGAAACTAAATACCAGAGAGAAAAAGTATAAGTGCTTAGTGCATTATGCACAACCTTGCCGTATCCACGTAAAGACGCATAAAGGAATACTTATTAACGATACAAAACAACTCCGCAATGACAGTCCGCTTGTACGTTCACTCGCAGCGTATCATTAATAGCAATTTATCCCGCGAGGGACGTTAAAATCATACAATCGTACGCAATTTCTGAATATTCTCAGAAAATATTTTTGTCCCCGGGCCCGCGAAATGAAAGCGACGTCACGCGACACGTTGTCCAAGAAGTTGTACCTTCATCTTGCTAGGATGTAGGACATGATCCCTACACGCGACGTCGCGTGCAACATCGAAGAAGTCTCTCTGACGTCATCGAAGAACGTCATTAACCCTAGTAGTTAAATAATAAATCGTAAGTACAAGAAAGTTTCGCGATCTGAAATGGAATTTTATATAACTCTACATGTATGTATATAGAAATGGAGAAGATACAAGTTGTTGCTGAATAAAGATATCTGAGTAATTATCTAAGCAGAACAGCAAGTCATTATGAAGTTAAAATGACTCCAAAATGATCATTAAAAGTCGTTTTTCAATCATTTCCGATTCATTTTAATGTCATTTATCGTGACTTATCGTTGTTCTGCTTATGAAAAAGGAATAATCGTCAACCTAATACAAGAAAAAGAAACAATTTATAAATTCTGATTCTAGTCTAAATAGAGTAAAATTCTTGGAATAGAGTCCAATAATTCTTGGAAAGTCTGTCAAGCAATTAAACATTCAGAAATTTAATTTAAAACTTACAAACTGATTTTGAAGAGATTTTTCTCGCGCAATTTATTTCGTATTTGCGTTTGCGCTTTGCTCTTAAAATTAAATAGAGCGATATTAATACGAGAGATGGGGTCTTTACGCATCTCCCATTCTTGTCTCGAGGACAAAAGGCGTGCACGTTCTCGTTCGCAAACGTGTCCTTGCACAATAGTAATTCGACCTGTTCTGTCAAGAACGTAACATTTCATTAATTGGAAAGTTGTTCTACGTTAAGAGAAGCGTAGTGAGGTCGTAATGCGTGCTAGTCTCCGAACAAATGGAAGTTGGCAGAACTGTTTCAAGAGTTTCATTTTCCCCATTTATGAAATTACAGCGAAGCAAATTTATAAGTTATTTATTGACGAAATAATTCAGTTTTGCGTCATAGCTTGTCCTATTTACGTCAATTTTAATTAGAGAAAATGCTTACAGTTCTGCGAAAAACAATCCAAAACGATTTCTTTGAACTATCTTATCTGGAAAAAAAAACACGCTTTCTAAGAATTATTTTCGTATTAATTAGATTATATAGTGAGATACAATGTGGTGAAGATTAAATCAGTACATGTTTAATAAAATCTGAAAAATCATCAGAATTTTCATATTTGAAAAAGAAAGTTTTTTCAAATGATTGGCTTGCTTTGAATATAGCACGTGCATGAAGTTGATCTCGAAGGACTTTGCCTTTTAAGTAGAGTACTAATTACTCTCGGCAATGGAGCTAGAGAAGAGTGCAAGATAAAAATCGTTCGAAAAATCTCACGAGTTCCGTGACGGAAAGTGTTACTTCAGTGACTTCCCACGCAGATAATAATTTCAGTTCTGCATCCATAAATTTAGATGTCGAATAATAACTCATATACGAGGTGCTTTGATTTTAAATATTCATCCCTAACATGGAATCGATTTTTTTTTCTGCTAAAATATCCAGTGCCAATATTTTTCAAGCTGTAAATTTTTATATGATTTTTATATGATTTAGATAAAAATGTCTGATCAGTTCATTTAATTTTAAGCAAATTTTGTTCTCTTGAAATTTTATATTTCGAACTAAACGTTTTGAAAGAAAATTGAGCTTCTAAATTTCATAAAATTTGTACTAAATTTGTAAATCGAAACTAATTATCTTGAGGTATCCTGTATACACAGCATTTATTATGTAGCATGCAAAGAATATTTGAATAGTTTTAGACACGGTCTGTAGGCGAATTTCTTCTTGTCAAAATTCAATTAGATCGACATGAAACATCAATAAGCAACGAAGCTACATGAAACTTACAAATTGTTGCTAATTTGATAGGCAAAGATACATTTTAAGTTAATTTAATTCACCAATAACAATTTTTACATTTTCTCTAATTAATTGAATATTTTAGTCATCAAAAGTACGTGATTTCTTTCATACGTGATCATTTCTGTTCATGAAATTCTGTTCATGTTGTAAGTAATTATTATTATCATTAAATCATAAACTTTCCATTAAAAAGATATTCTATTAAATAAATTAAAAATCTAAATTAGATATATAAATCGACAAACAAATCAGTCCTTTGGAACTGTGAACGCCAGAAGAACTGAATGCGCATCTTCGTGTTATTTTAAATGTTTCCATATAGTCAAAGTTTAAATAGATCGACTTCGAGACTTAAAAACCGCAGAGGCAAACATAAAAAATTGTTGAGTTCAATAACAATAGCCACAACGTAGCTAGCAACGTCAGTGAACGTTCAACGATGCGCACGAGATGTGCATCGGGAACGCCCATTGCCAGGTCGTCACAGCTCTTCTCTTCTTCATGGGACATTGTGCCCGATTGCTTTTACGGAATTGACGATTCAACTCGCGTGGGCTCCTTTGAAAAATACCCACCGCGCACAGGGACAAACATTGAAGCTACATATGTACGTGCTCGCGAGAAACGTTCCACTCGAGTATTTGAGCTTGTCTCATACATACCTGTGTATATATTTCATGCACGATTTAATGACACGATTGTAACTTCATAGTGCAAAAAATAGTGTGCTCCAATTTTTATCGACGAACTTTTTATTGGACTTCAATATTTCATAATCCCTACCCAATTTGATCTTTTAATAGTTTTTATTTTAATTCAATGTTCTTGATGCATATAAAGTTTCTCTTTTCCAATTAAAAAATTACGGGATAACAAAAATTTAGTCACAACATTTTGTGTTTATCAAATCATTAGTAATCTTATGATTCTTATGTGTATTAAAAAAAAAAAAAACTCTGGACGTTACTAATTATATTTTATTAAACATATATTTTATTAAATATCAAAAATAATAATTTACATTCAAAATTAACTTTGTAGAATATTAACTTTTATATAAACTTTAAGGCGTTTCGGATGCATTAGCGCATCTTTCTACGGATAAATTTTCCCAAGTAAACAATAGAGTGGTCTTCAGTCTATTAAATCTATTAACCAAAAAATTTTTTAGTAGTTTTTTGATATTTAATAAAATAAGAATAATTAACACACTGCAGAGTTTTTCTAAATATACGTTATTACTAAGTAGCAAGCTAACGCTATTTATCATTATTTTAATGTCAACTTGCTGAGTAATGATTTGCTTGAAACATACGAAACTTCGTGACTAAACTTTTTGTCACCCTGTCATACGTGATATAACTTTTAAACAAATCGAAGAGCTGAAGAAGAATTTTTTTCAGATGCCCATTTATATGCTAATGAATTGAAATGAAGAGTCATGACTAAGCACATATGAGAAGAAATGTCTATGAAGAAATGACCTATTTCTTGTAGTGACTCGAATACAAGAGAACAGCATGCGCGTTGCACTCGGTTGATGCGTTATTAAGAATTTATATTCGGCTTGATCAAACAAAAGATCGAAGTCAAGTAACTGTACCTGTGCTTTTTGCGCGACGGCGAGGGCGAATTCTTCATCAGGTGCGGGATCGTCGGGTGTCATGTTGGTGCCCCCCGCTGCACCGCCGCCGCCAACCGTACTGCTAAGGGGTCTGACCGGACCCCCCGTCGAATACGGCCAATTACCAATAAGATTTCCGCCTCCGATGGATTCGCGCTTTCCTGAAAAAGAAAAGATAAATGTAACATTATAGAAACATATGTATGATGTATAACATTTATACAGAGAGTTTAAGGACGTTTTCCGAAAAAATCCATTTTCTTTAAATTTTTCTGAAATTTATATAGAGAAGCTCGTTTTAATGTCCTGAACATATGTGCTTTAAAATTCAATATTCGAAGCGGGATTAAAAATCGAAATACTTCCATCCATCTCCACTTCAAAGTTTAAAAAAAAAGTACACACACACACACACACACACACACACACACACACACACACACACACC